CAGCCAGCATGGGTGGCTGGGGAATTCTGGGAGTTGAAGTCCACCCATCTTAAAGGGGCTAAGGGGAAGAAACACGGCTTTACTGTAATGAGCTCCTAATATTAGCTAGAGAGGGAAAAGCCATATTTTCTGTACTCATGTGAGATTTAAGCAACTCTTTCTTTCTTAGATTCATATCCCACCTTTCATTCCAGAGCTTAAAGCAGTAAACATCCTCTATACCCTCTTTCCTACTTTTCCCCACAACAGCCCTGTGAGGTAGGTTGGACAGAGAGAGAGGGCCTGTCCCAGAGTCCCCCAGAGAGCTTCTGTCGTTGGGGGTGGGAGCAGAACCTGGGTCTCCCCACCCCAAACCCAGCACCGGACACTACCCCACGCTGGTGATGGAGGGGAGGGGATAGTGTGTCTGTGTGTGCCTGTGTGTCGAACTTTGAACTGAAGAAGGTTTGGATTTCTTTTCCAGCAGGCGGGTAGAAATGGAGAAGCCGGGCCCGGGACACCACGTTCAAAGAGGACGGAAAAGTTCTTACCCTGTTCAGCTTGGGGCCGTCCGAGAGTTCCCGGTTGGGCTAGACTCCCGTTTTATTAAGCAGGAGCCGGAGGAGAATCTCCAGCAGCCGTGGGACGCTCAGTGGCAGGACTTTCTGAAGGCGATGCAGCCCTCTCGTCCCGGACAGAAACGCACCCAGCTACCCAGCCCTGCCCGGTCCCGAGACGGTTCCCACTCCTCCTTCAAGGGAACCGCTGATCCGAGTCAGAGGCCTGGGAGAAAAGGCATAACCCAACCCTTGCCAGACCCCAGCGAAGATGGCCAAGGCCTCATTTCCCCGGTGAGAGTGAAGGAAGAAATCCTGGAGGCGGAAGAAGCCTTTGGCTCAGAAACAGAGCGCCAGCGTTTCAGGCAGTTCTGCTACCAGCAGGCCGAAGGGCCCAAAGAGAGCTTTTTCCAGCTGCAGGAACTCTGCTGGCAGTGGTTGAAGCCCGAGAGACGCACCAAGAAGCAGATTCTGGAGCTGCTGGTCCTGGAACAGTTCCTGGCCATTCTGCCCCCGGAGATGCAGAACTGGGTCAAGGAGGGCAAGCCGGAGAGCTGTGCCCAGACGGTGGCCCTGGCAGAGGATTACTTGCTGCGGCTGCAGGAGGCTGATGGACTGAAAGAAAAGGTAAGCAAGCACCTGTCGGCCTTGCAGGGTTAACCAGATAGGAAACACAACCAGATGAGTTAATTCTACTTTAGCGTAATGCTACATTGACAAAATCTTGCAAATCTGAAAGTACAATTCTCTCCCCGCCATCTCCTTTACTGCCTGAGAAACTAGGGAGGGTCTTTTCTGAGCCTCTTGCCCCACCCACTATCCAGCTGCAGGCTATGCCGTCTCTTATCTGACAGTTCCCTTGGCAGCGTCTCTTGGCCCAAGGTCTTTCCCACATCCTATTATACCACCCTTGGTTCTCCTCCGCAGGCAGTCAGGGATCAAATTGACAGCCGTGTAAACTCTGGAATCAGGTGTGAACTTTGCTAGATCTGTTTATTTACCATTAGTCCTTGCTTTCTCTGCCTAAGAGGAAGTTGCATTGAATTATCTGGGGCTTGTTCCAAATCTTAGGCAAGTTGATTGATTGATCTTACTCCAAGATCCCACCGAAGAATGCTGATGTAACACAACATGTTGGCATTCTTCCCTTAAATCTTGTAAAAACTCATGTGAGGGCATGGGCTTCCTGCCATTTTTAATCTATTGTTTGAAAACTTTTTTTTAGTAGCCCTTTGTGGGGGTACTGGGGTGTTTTGCTCACTGTGATCCCCTGTTGCTAAACGTTGCCTTAGTTCACTTTGTGAGAAACGACCATGGAGAAAAGGGTTTCTGGTTATATGTGAACACAGGGAAGGTTGGAATGTCGTGCAACATTCTGGTTCCTTATGTTCCCTGTTTAATTGTTTGCACCAAACATTCATAAGCAAAGAGGTTGATGTGCAGTTCAAGGATTTTTTGTAATTCGGTGATTAAGCAAAGACAAGGCGAAGTTCCAAGTTGATCTTGACTCAATTATTTTATTGATAAGACCATGCATAGCAGAGAAGAAACTGGTGAGAGATTGTGAGATGGGATGGGATGGGAAGAAAGAGCAGACATAAACATTTAAGAGGTAGAAGGGGAATTTGTCGGTCGCTTAGGTCATAAACAGCAACTTGGCCCAGGTGGGGAGAAATCTGGGAGGAAACATTTCAGATCACTGAAAGAGACTCCCCTATAAATGAGGGTGGGAAATTCCTATTACGGTTTCCAAGAATCCCTGACTGAAACCTATATAATTCTTGCTTCCTTGGTCTTGCCCAGCTGTGTGGGCTGGATAAATCCTTTGTTCCGGCCTGTTTTTTTGATGTAGCCCTTTATTTGCTGGTGGGTGTCCTATCCAAGCCTGAACCAGATTTGACACTGCTTGGTTTTCTGAGATCAGAAGAATCAGCTGTTTCATTGTCCAAAAGAGACCAAAATATCTCGAACAAAGCAATGATATAAATCTCCGTGCATGCAGAGGGGCTAGACCTCAGGTATGTGTACGTAAGAGTGCAGACTGAAGCATTTCATTACTATTTTGGGAATATTAACTCCCCCAGTAACTCTGCCATTTTGTTCTTAAGCTTCTTACAGATGGTCTCACTTGACCCATAGGAAGATATGTTGGGTTGATTCAACGTGATTAGTGAACCTAGACCAGTGTTTCTCAACCTCAGCCACTTTAAGATGTGTGGACTTCAACTCCATGGCTGGCTGGGGAATTCTGGGAGTTGAAGTCCATGGCTGGCTCGGGAATTCTGGGAGTTGAAGTCCACACATCTTAAAGTGGCTGAGGTTGAGAAACACTGACCTAGACCCTGTGGTTTGTAAATTGTGGATTATGGCTTAGCCAGATGTGAAGTCTGCCAGCCATGATCAAAACAAACCATAGCTTAGATGAGCGTGTGAAAATTATGCTTGCATCGCAACTCTGTTCCTGTTGCAGGTTTCCTATCCCGGGGAAGAGGTAGCTGTTGTTAATTCTCCCAAGTCAGAGAAGGTTGTGTCTGAAGCCATGAACAGCCGTCTCTCTGCAGGGGCTGAGGAAGAGAGCGATGAAGAGGCCAGTTTTTTAGGTAAGGGAGAAGGTCCTTTTTCCTCCCATTTTTTTATTCTTCCCAGCCCAAAAGAACGCTCGAAAGAAATTATGAAAGAGGCTAAGGACTCTGTCAGCAGGAGACTGAACAGAAAAGACTGGGTTTGGTATGGCAGGAGAAGCCGTCGAAAGAAAAATCGAGGTTGAAAATTATCCGGATCTGGTTGGGGTCTCTGGCCAAAAAGAATCCAGGAAAAAAGATCCCCAGTGCCTCTGAATGGGAGGGGTGGCTGGGCAGCGGCTTGAAGGATTGCAGCTCTTCGAAGTTCCTCCTTCAGTCCCAGCTAGGTGACCGAGAATGGAGAGCTTGCTATCCCAGCACACATTACGCACAAACACACCCAGAGGTAACACAAAAGGGGAGCAGAGACACAACACATGACTTAGTCCGACAAGGAACTAGAGACTCCTCTGATGGCCAGCACCGGCAAAGGGGTTAGAAAGAATTCCAGAAGCCGGACTTTTTTTCCCCCTCCGTTCCTTCATTGGGAGTGCAGGATATCTAGCACAAGCACCTTTTCTCACTTTCCTGATATTTGGGAGCTACTCTCAAAGGAGAAGCCCCAGGTTGGTGTTTCTGGGATAGAACGCTTGTCCTGCAAGTAGAAGGATTCAGGTTAATCCCATCTTCAGCGGCTGGTTTGTTGGCTGGAAGGTGAGTTCAAGGTCACAAAATAGAGGATCGCTTTTGAGTTCTGAAAAACGTTCCCAGATCAAATGGTAAACTTTTGTTAGCTTGGTGCAACCAATGAGCTGACATAGCCGAGTAAAGGAGTTGCTAGCTTAACAGAGATTTTTCTTACGTCATTATAGGTAGTCCTCGACTTACAACCACAATAGGAACCAAAAAATTCATCAAGCAGTGCAGTAATTAAGTGAGGCATCACATGACCACCCAATTTTACGACCTTTTTTGCCATTAAGTGAGACCACATGACCACAACTTGCGACCTTCCCTGCCAGCTTCCCCATTGATTTTGCTTGTCGAAAGCTGGCTGGGAAGGTTGCAAATGGTGATTGCATGACCACAGGACGCTGCAACCATTGTAAATGTGCGATGGTTGCCAAGGGCCCAAATGACAATCACGTGACCGCAGGGATGCTGCGACAGTTGTAAATGCGAGGACTGGTTGTAAGTCACTTTTTCAGTGCCGTCGTAATTTCGAACGGTCACTAAATGAATGGTTGTAAGTCAAGGACTACCTGCCTAGTTAGGTTTTCTCCAGGGAATTATTGCAGGTTTAAATAGCACTATGTTTAGTAAACAAGCTTTTATCATTTATCCCTTGTATGATGCCTTGCTTTATAAGCTCTGGCTACTATCAGTCATCAGCCTAAATTGGGGGTAGGCAACTAGAAACCCATACGCTGTGTGTGGCCCATTTGCATGCCCTTGTGCTGCTGAAATATAAGCAGTAAAACAACCAGTTTTCAGCCGCACAGCTTTTGTGGTTGTTTGAAACCACTACCGATGAATCAAGATTTATCTGAGAGGCAAAACATTTATTTTTCCAATGTTTAATTCCCCAAAATATGCAGTTGGAATTCAGTCATATGGCTTCCCTGGGGTTTCTTGCTCCCATTCCAGCCTTATAACGCATCACCCCACTCTTAAAAAAGAAATTGGGCAAAAGGATAATCCCTATGTCTTCCTGTGATGACAGCTGCAGCCCCCTGGCTAGTTCCTCCAGTCTCTAACCCAGAGATAGTTGCCCCCTGAGTAGCATCTTAGAGAGTTGGGTGTGTTTGGTTCTTAGGGGTGCAGTGTTTCTATCCAAGTTATGAAGCTGTGTTTATTCTGTAACTATAGAATAAGCAGCCAGGTTACATCAGCCCCACTAGGAAAGCCAGATTCCTGCAGCATTGATTATTTCCTAATCAACGCCACAGGAAGGCTAAGACTGCTTTTATTGAGATGGGCTATAAGAACAGAATCTTGCAAGTCTGATTGGGCTGTATTTTCTGCTGCTTATACTCTTGTGAATCAGGGAGGTCTCTGTCTGACCCGCTTCCAAATGTTATCTGGACGTTCTGGACTTAAAACATGTTTTAGCTCCCTTTGCTTAGGTAACGGTTGCTGCGTATCTCCGTCATGGAAGTCTTCCTTACTCTCTACAGGTCATGATTCTCTCATTTGTTCCTCCAGGCACTGACCAAGGTTACGAAAACGAGGAGGAGGCCTTCTCCTTCGAAAGGCATCCAGGCATCAGTGGGCTGTCTTTGGCAAAACTCAATGGGAAGTTATATCAGGTCTGTGGACTGGAAGCGATGCCAGGAAGTGAGCCTCGCCAAGAAATCCACCAAGAAAGCCAATCAGGGATCCCAGCTATTTTTCACGAGGAAAGCTTACAAGAAAACACCTTCCCAGAGGGAAACCAGAAGGGAAAGAGGAGGAATACTGGTCCCAGTTGGGGGACAGTTCTGAACCGTGGTTTTGAGTTTCCTCCAAACCGGAGAATGCAAAAACTCTACACGTGCACCTACTGTGGGAAGATCTCTAATAATAGCGCACATATGATCATCCACGAGAGGACCCACACTGGCGAGAAGCCGTACAAGTGCTCCGAGTGTGGAAAATGCTTCAGCACAAATTGCAACCTGATGAAGCACACCCGTGTGCACACGGGTGAGAAGCCATACCAGTGTACCGACTGTGGCAGGAGCTTTAGTGACAAGGCCTCGCTCATCGTGCACGAGAGGACCCACACGGGGGAGAAGCCCTATGAGTGCCCCATGTGTGGGAAAAGCTTCACCTCGAGCTCCAACCTCATCACACACAAACGGGTGCACACTGGGGAGAAGCCTTACAAATGTTCCGAATGCGGGCAGAGTTTTGTTCACCGGCCGCAGCTGGTTATCCATATTCGGACGCACACTGGGGAGAAGCCGTATGAGTGCCCTGAGTGCGGGAAGAGCTTCAATCAGAAAGCTGACCTTATCATCCACAGGCGCACCCACACCGGGGAGAAGCCGTACGAGTGCCCCGAGTGTGGGAAAAGCTTCATCTCCAGCTCTTATCTTCGGAAGCACGAGCGGCTGCACACAGGGAAGAAAGCACAAGCCGGGGAGGAAATGCACAAGTGCAGCTATTGTAGGAAAAGCTTCATCAGCCGATCCAAGCTTCTCATCCACGAGAGAACCCACACGGGAGAGAAGCCCTTTGAATGTGCCGAGTGTGGGAAAAGCTTCAGCACCAGCTCTAACCTGGTCAACCACAAGAGGGTCCACACAGGCGAGAAGCCGTACCAGTGCTCGGATTGCGGGCAGAAGTTCAGCACGAACTCAAACCTCGTCAATCACCGGCGGGTCCACACGGGAGAGAAGCCGTACAAGTGCTCCGACTGCGGGCAGAACTTTGGTCATAAAGCTTCCCTCCGGAGGCACAAGAGAATCCATTCCAGAGAACCCACCAGATGCATGCTTGGAACAGGGGCAAAATGTTGAAACAAAACTTACGGCCACGTGGAAAGCTGTCTTACGCTGCAGTAGACTCTCGGCCCATTGAGTCAGCGTCACTGGGAAGAAGCGTTTCCAGGGCAGGTGTCTTCACTGCCCTACCTGGAGATGCCAGGGATCCAACGTAGGATCTGCTACATGCCAAGCATGTCTTATGCCACTGATCTGGGATCCATCAGCTGGGTTTCCAGATGCTATTGGAAAGTTCACCAGCAGGATGAGAAGGCAATACCCACGGTGGTATTCAGAGGCACGCAGTCCCTAAGCTGCGCTCCTACACGTGCTTACTTGGGGAGGAATTCAGTGGGGCTCTAAAGGGTGTGCCTAAGCGCTACCAAGCCCCACATTTTCTTGCAGGAGTCCCATAAATTGGCAAGGGCTCTATTAAGTCCTGCAAAGGACTTCAATGTCTTTTTCTATCACTCATGTACTACTCAAATGGTACACCAAGAAGTTTGGGTCTCTCCTGGTCTATTACACTGAATAATGACTTTTTTTTTTTATGATCAAGTTGGGATCTAGATTCCTTAAGGGGTTGGAAGTGAGGGGGGCCTAGCTAGCTTCTTAGGAAGTTTAGAAACAATTGAGAAATATTCCTTGATAAGGAAGCGCCATTCAAAAGGTGTTAGCAACACTGTATGACGTAGCTGCCTTTGTTAGCCTGTGTCCCTGCCTATGTGTGTCTGCAAATCCAAATGTATTTTGGTGTTTAGGTCTTGAACAAAAAATTGTAGGATGCCCTGAGAAAATTGGGCACCTTCCCTGTAGTATGGAGACGCCATCATATGGTGCTAGCAGGTGGAGCGATCAAACGGTTCATTACTAAACGAGTGGATATTTTATACAATGGTAGTGTTCAAATAAATGAACTCTTTGCTTATCCTAGTTAATGAAGCTTTGAAGGGAGAGCCGTGTCTTTGTGGAACTGTAAGGTGAAGGTGGAAAGGCAAGAGAAGTTAAAAGCGGGAGACTGAGAGGTAACATGCTGATTGAAGCAGGATAGGTAGCTTGGAGGATAGGACAGATAATGTGAGAGTCAAGAAAACCAGAGCACAAGGTTTAGAGATGCGTGTTTGTGTCTTCCTTCAGGGTCTCGCTGTTAATAGAGAGGTGTACAATATTCTTTTAAAGTGTAAAACAGAGGAGCCTTGATTTAGTTTCAAATTCCACCCAGGTGGCTCTGAGCCTTCTCCCTTCCAGGGATTTAGTTTATTTCACCCTGATTTCAACTTGGGAAAAATCCATCATTTCTGGCCTAAAAAAGCATAAACATGGTTCCTTTTTGACATCTTGGAATTCAGTGCACAGTACAGAGCAAAGGTACGCCCTCTTCACAAAGCGGGTCTCCCAGTCGGTCCCTTTGAATCGTGGTTAGACTAAACATAAAAATAATACAACCAACGTGTGGAAGGAGAGCAAAGCTAACCAAGGTGAGTTCTCAACAGAGCACGGCTTTCTCGAGGTTTCCATTCCATTAGAATTCTGTTCTAGATGAAAAGGCAAGAAATCACCAGTCGCCAATAAGTAGTCTTCCCATTAAAGGTGAAGGGGTTATGGAGAAATAGACAGGCCTTGTTCTGAATATATGTAGTTCATTACTCATGCAGGGTGAGTAAGCTTGAAGTGCGTGAGATAGCTTTTGTTCTTGTTTTAAGCTATCCCCAAAGGCAAAATGCAGAAACTCTGAATTGGTGCAGTAAGTTTAGAATTAAAGATGTATGAGTCTGCTCTTCACTTTGGAAGGAAATGATAAACTAGAATTTAGATAGAATCATAAGGTAGGAAGGGACCTTGGAGATCTTCTAGTCTGACCCACTCCCTGGGCTTGAATCCTCAAACCATCCCCAGACAAATGGCTGTCCAGACTTGGCTTGGAAATCTGTGATGGATCAGATCCATCAGCTTGTGGATTGAAGAAACCATCCAGGATCCATTTTGCCTGCATCTTTCTGATGCCCAGCCTGAATAGGAAATCACTATCGACCCACAATACTCTAGCTTGGGGCTGGGGTGGGTGGGGATTTTTGGGGGGTTAGGGTTAGAAGTTGCAAATGGACACATTTGCAACTTCTACCTCTGCAGTTCTCCTTGATTTCGTAGCTGCCAGAAACTGGTACTTTGCTTTACAGAAGGCTATTTTTGTAACCAACCCCACCCCAAAATTAATATTTTTAAAATGCTCACCCATATTCTAGGTACTGTGCTCCCTTCCAGTCTGAAACATTTCTGTTTTGTATAGGGAAAGTAACTTTGTCTAACCCAGTCCATGCTCCTTCAGAGCTGGATCTCTGATTTTTGACCCGGTTCTCTCCAGCATCTGTAAAACTGGTTTGCAATTCTGAAATAGCAAGATTTGGACTCGGTCTTGTTCACGCAACAAGCTGGGCCATGGTTTACTTAACTGGGAGTCACCCAGTAAGCTTAATTGGCTGGATGGACACAATGCCTGGATCAAAAAGCCATGGTCTACAAAGAACAGTGGCTACAAATCACACACCTAACACACTGGATGTAAAACTTTTTGCACGGAAGACAGAAGCTGGATTTATGCAAAAAACAATGCTGTGAATTGCTTAATCATGCTTAGTTTCACACAACAGACAAAGCCATAATCTAACCATGGGTTCATAGATTATGACACAGACTTAGGGTCTTTTGAGTCAATCCTGGTTTCTGACAACTGCGTGGATAAGTCTCTGCAGTTTTCTTGACAACATTTTTCAGAAGTGGTTTGCCCTGGCCTCCTCCTTCCCTGGGCTGAGAGAGTGACTGGTCCAAAGTCACCCAGCTGGCTTTGTGCCTAAGGAGGGACTAGAGCTCATGGTCTCCCAGTTTCTGACCTGGTGCTTTAACCGCTACACCAAACTGGCTCTCTTATGCTACAACCAACCCACCCCATTTTCACTTAGTGTGCTGTGCAAACCTTATCACTGTAGGTCACCGTTGCTCAACCTCAGCAACTTTAAGATGCATGGATTTCAACTCCCAGAATTCCCCAGCCAACGTGTTTCAACTCCCAGAATTCCCCAGCAACATGCTGGCTAGGGAATTCTGGGAGTTGAAATCCATGCATCTTAAAGTTGCTGAGGTTGAGCAACACTGCTGTAGGCCATCTTGAGTTCCCTCACATATTACTCCTGCTAAAAGCCCAACGTTGGCTCTTCTCCCCACAACAAACTAAGGCCAACTCCACTGCATTATGGTTAATGTGCTGCGTCATCTCTGCCACTGTGTTTCGTACCCCATGGGGCACAGCTTGTACTAATTACAGCTTGTGTCTAGCATGACATCAAGATATCACCGTCCCACCTATACAGCCAGTGAAAATGAGGCAAAAATCCCAACAACGTCACTCTTGATCACCCAAAGGACCATCATAGTCCAGGTTAACTATAAACACTGGGTTGGAATAATATCTCACCCACCACCCATCCAAGTTCTTCTTTCCAGCTCTTAATTTCTTCCTACCTTTCCATACTGAGTCTTGACCATTCTGCTCCCATTCAGATGTTCTGGACTACAATTCCACTCTACCTCAGCCAACAGGACTACTTTCTCCTGCTTCCCTTCCCTCCATCAATGCCCTCCCACAGGAGGGCGAGATGGCTGGCTGGACATTGGGAATAGTTGCTTTTGCTCAAAAATCTGCTCTCGGGTTGACGCCCAGCTAGGCACCGGGAGCCTCGGCCATGCTGGAGATGCTGGAAATCCTGCCCCGGGGCCTGGAGGTTGTGAGAATGCGGACGGGCCAGAACATGGCAAAATTGAACCTAAGAAAGACTCGGCTGCTGTTTCTCCATTGAAACTCTTGGTCTCGGATGGGGAAAACCTACCTCTGAAAGAGAAGCTTTGCTCCTGGGGATCGTCCTGGACTCACAGCTCTACTTAAGCAATGAGTGGGGGCCATGGCCAGGGGTCCCTTTCCCAAGTTTTTACTGGTGCACCAGTTGTGGTCCTACCTGGGGTGGGACGGCTCAAATCCTGTTTGGACTACTGTAATCCAGTTGACTCGGGGCTGCCCTTCAAAACCACATGGAAGCTGCAAACGGTTCAGAATCACTGCTGTCCAAGTGGGCTAACACTACAGTGACCCAATGTCCTGTATTATAGACCAGGGTTCCTCAATGCTGGTGACTTGAAGATGTGTGGACTTCAACTCACCAACACTGAGGAACCCTGTTACAGAGGACAGTCCTTTATTTCAGAAAGCTGCCTTTTATTAGAACGTGCGTTTTGGTCAAGATTTTCTTGGTTTTGCACTTGAATTTTCCTTGGCAAACCCAAGTTATAAACACGAACCATTATAATGTTTTATTCTTAGGAACCTCCTTCAGATTTGCCCCTTTTTCAGGCTGATCCGTTGCTGTTTCCAAGAATTTACGGTCACCGTAGCTAACACCCGCTGGCTTCCAACGAGTTTCCAAATGCAATTTAAAGTGCTGGTTTTCATCTATAAAGCCCCCTATTCCTTGGAACCAGGGTTTCTTTCAGGAATGAATTCTCCAGCTTCACAATTCCTCCAGGAGAAATAGCTCTTGGTTCCCTATCAGGAGATGACGGGGGGCCGAGACCAGGTGACAATCTTCTTGGGGCTTCCCAGCTGAAATTTGATCGGATCCCCTCTAACTACCTTCCAGAAGCAACTTGTGTGTGGAAGCTAACATCATTTATTATTTTATTGTTGCTTTTCAATATGTTTTTATTGTTTTGATTTTTACCATGGACATTTTCACTGCACGTGTCGGTCTCTTGGGAACGGCTAAGAGTCCTTAATGGTATTGCAGATGGCCATGAAAGTAATAAATAAATAAAATAAATAAATTTTGTAAGGATTATGCATCTAAACTTCCTTTGCAACCAATCCAGGCAGGGACTGTTTTAAAGAACAAGAACAACATGAAATTATTCAAAAGTTACGCAATTATTTTAATATCTGTATATCTTCAAGAAGATTAGAAACATTATTTCAAATTCTTTTGTTATCGATGGCATTTTTCCCCCTGGCATATTTCAGGCCCTGAAGGACAGCTGAGTTAGGACCAGAAGTTTTTTTAAAGACTCAAGTCAAGTCCCTTTGATTTTTTTGAGGAGTTACCTGGAGCTTAATAACTACATTTTCAGCATAAGGCTGGGCTTTTTGATTATTTTTATACTGGAAATAATCTTTCAACAGGGTTAAATATTTCTAAATAATTTCCATATTTTCCAGTTGCATTTTCATCTTAATCTCTGGGCCAAAAGAATAAATGTATACAGAGTCACTCTTTTTTTAAAAAAATTGTAGCTCTGTTAAGAGTTGAGCACCAGCTAAATCTGTTCTTACTGTCTGAATTATAACAAAGCTTTCACACTGCACTTTTGTACGTGAGTGTCCTTACGGCTGCATTCACTTCTCAGTTTTCTGTTTATGAGAACAAGGAGATTAGTGAACACTTCCTGCTACGTTTGTAGAATGCGCTCATTCATATTTTCGACAGTCTGAGCTAGAAATGAAGTTTTTCCCACACTCGTAGCACTTGTAAGGTTTCTCTCCTGCATGGGTTGGCATGTGCTTGGTAAGAGAAGACCTCTGACTCAATCATTTGCCACACTTGGGAGAAGAAGATGGTTTCCCACCTGTGTGGGTTCTCTGATATTTGGTGACAGAGGATTTATCGCTAATTTTTTTTTGTAGGTGGGACACTTGTAAGTGTGGATTCTCTGATGGGTACAGCTAGTCCTTGAGTTACAACCACTCATTTAGCGACTGTTCAAAGTTATGATGGTGCTGAAAGAGGGGGACTTACGACCAGTCCTCGGAGTTCCAACTGTTGCAGCATCACCAGCAATATTTTTGGAAGTGGTTTGCCCTTGCCTCCTCCTTCCTAGGGCTGAGAAAGGGACTGGGCCAAGATCACCCAGCTGACTTTGTGCCTAAGGCAGGACTAAAACTCAGGGTCTCCCAGTTTCTAGCCCAGTGCCTCTCTGACACTTTTTCTTCCCCCACACA